TTTATGCAATATAAGTGCAAATATCTTCTTAAAAAATATATCCCTTTTAAAATTGATATAAATAAATTAAATATAAAGAGAAACGAAAATTTTTGATAAGAGAAATGATCCAACAATCAAGGTTTTTTACTATGAATAAATAAATTTANATTTGATAATAATAAATGAGATGAGAAATCAATTTAATTTTAGCTCAAAAGAATCTCAATTGAATGCTCTAAAGTTCTTGTCATAAATGATAAGAGAGTTGGTATTTATAGAAATGAAAAATGTCAAAATTTCTGTCAAATCGGATGATCGAATCCGATCGATCGCCAATTTTCGGATGACCAATATAATCGTTTGTATAGGAAAATCAGAAGTCAAAACGGTTAAATTTTGAATCATTGGAAAAGTTCGATCGATCGCCAAAACTGGCGGTCGACCGTCGTCGGTCGACTAACTGGTCATCGATTTATCGTTGACTGTTGACTTTTTTTATAGATATGATCTAGGTGCAAATACACTTTGAAATATCAATCTTACTTTTGATCAAAAATATTTTATGCAAGTGATGTGAAAATAATTCTTCGTGCACAAAATGATTTTTGAACTATTGTCATTAATTACTAAAGATCAAAGTGTTATACTTTTACATATGATCTCGAAAGCCTAGTATTTGATCTTGCTTTGAAATTTCTTTCATGTTTGACTCTTGAACTCTTGATCTTGCTCTTCTTCATGAGTCTGATTTGATAGTCTTGATTTTGATCTTTTAAGCTCTCGTCTCGAATTATTTGACTTGAATGCTTAAATTTCACTTTGATCTTTATTTCAAGTCCGATTATGATGTAATGATTTTGACAATATAACGTTGAACTATCATCACTCAAAATTAATTGTTAGAAATATTATTAATCTTGTTTTTTATGATCAAAACATTAAGGATGAAATCAACCAAATATCAACGCAACAAATATACTACATAGGACGCCACATTTAACTATGTATACCATTACTCTTAATTAATAGTCAAAGTTTGAGTCAATTATGCCAATTGTTTAGCACCGCGAATAAAAAGTATATTTGACGAGGAGTGATTAAAAATAAATTTAGGTACACAACTCCTTTGTTAACACATGCATCTGATAAGTTTGTCAACAATTTACTTATCTATGAGACTTAAAAATTCGATACAATATAGTTGTTTATTGCATTGATCATTTCTCTTATTTTGACCTTTTGAAGCGTTCTTGAAATTGCTTTGTCAAACCACCTTTATAGGTAGATTTGATTATTTTACTCGCAAACACTTGCATCATTCTAATATCAGTATTGTTAAAATTTGATTGAACCAGTTGATTCAACATTAAAATTGAAAACTAAATAGAAAACTAGATCACTTATAATATAAATACCTACGACTGGACATACTCTGGTTCAATATGAATCCAAAAAAATATAATCGGATCAAATATCAATGGAAATTTTAAAAATGGAACCATTGTTCCATATTCAACTATAGAACTGAATCGAAACTGTATATGATGATATTGAAAAATTATAAAAATAACGTATGAAACTTGTCAGATAAAAAATAGACAAAAAATAGAGATGAAAATTACTTGTCATTTTTGTAATCCAACAATAAAAAAATCAATTAAACAAGAAAACAAATAAAATCAACTCCAAAGTTCAAGATCAACTAATAAAAGCGGAAAAAAAAAAATGAAAAACTGTTAAACACAACATACATGGTAAAATCTAGATCGAAAATTAATTCTTAAGAAAATTCTTACAATAATATATATTAAAAATACACGTAGTATTTATAACCTTATAATTCGCGCTCTCACTCTCTATTTTGCCTTATCCACCCTCTCTCTCTCTCTCTCTCTCTCTCTCCAGGTATATCCCACGATTTACCTTCTACACCAAGGCATAGGGGTGGGCAGGTGTGGGCGCTTGTAATGGTTCGTAACAAAAAAAAAAAAAAACAAAACAAAAAAAAAAAGTGGCTCATTGAACAAATACCTCATATTTCTCTGGCGATCATAATGAAGCACGATTGACTCGCGAAAGATGAGCATCAATCAGTTTTCTCCTTTCTGTCAGAGTATTCTCCTTCGCCATTTCTCCCAAGATTTGTTACAATACAAATAAATAGACCTCACTACCCAGGAAACGAAGGCAGGAAAGGTTAAAAGAATGTCGATATCGAATCCTCGTTAAAGAGATGGTTGAATAAATATTTCATGTTTGAACTCTTGGAAAGCTGATCCCTTGGAGAATGAGATCTCTTGGGGTCCAAATAAAGGTGATCAGTACCCAACACTTTCCTTTTTCCTATAGTAGATTTCCCTGGTAGAATTGGAGAAGGAACAATCAAAGTAGACTCCATAGGCAAATGTTCTTGAGGAAGAGTAGTCGTAACTCTAGTAGAAGACCCTCCAGGTTCTTGCGATGGTGTATTCTTCTTCAAAGAAGTACTTTTGGCCCCTCAGCCCCTTGTGAGAATGCAACTTTTCATCCTCCAATCGACAGTGAATAAACATCTTAGGTGGAATTGACACTTGAGAAGTTTTCTTTTAGCGCTTCCGAATTGGGTTTACGTCAAAATTAATCTTACCTAACAAAGCAAAGAGTTAGGTTAGAAATATTTAAAAACAAAAAGAAGCTCTCTTTGGCGTACACATTCATCCATCGTAGTTTGTACCATTGTATTGAAAAAGTTTGAATTTGAAGGATGAAAAAGTCTCTCTATTTCGCGAACCTCTAGATTCAAATTAAGAATCGGAGTCACAAGAGTCCAAATATCAGCAACTGCTTGATCTTCTATTGTTCGCTTTCTGGAAAGGAGAAGCATTAGTATAAATCAAAATAAAATTAAAAGAGGGTGAATGGTAAATTCACTATACTCACGATATTCATCGTAATAGAGAGGCACAGTTGCTATACAATTAAGGTCGTTTTTGAGGAAGACCCCCTAATACGAATAAGAAACTTTCTTTCTAGTTGTGCACTTTATTGGAGTAATTACAAGTTTGGGACAGCTTTTGGGGAAGCAAGGAGAAACGTAATTAAAATCTTTTTGAGAATTAGCTTTATTACTACCATTCGTTGGGTGGTAGATCATCCTAAAACTATTAGAGAATAACTCTCCTTCTAACCCTGCAGTCGTCGACAAAAGGAAAGATTCAACAATATGAGCCACCCTTTTGAAGAAGGTTGGGTGGGAGCAAGGTTAAAAAAATTCAACATTATTATTTGTACAACAAATTACAATTACAGGAGTTACAATTAATAAAAAAAAAAAAAAACTACGACAACTTTAAGTCTGACTTGGGCTCTCCAAAGGCACATGACTCGAGTTGGCCAAAATTTGAGCAGGACTTTGATCCCACCTCATCAAGAAACAAGTTGTGGACAGTCAGAGCGGAGCTTTTGCCCTTGTTTGATACTCATTCTTTTCAAAATACATTTTTCTTCTTCTTCTTCTTTTCAATCACACATTTTTCACTAAAATAATATTACACATAAATCTAAACTTTTTCTTTTTTTAACCACATATTTTTCATCAATCTATGCAATCTTATTATAGAAGTGGAAAACAAACGGGCTCTTTACGTACCGACTCGCCATCCTGTCCAATTGCTAACCGTACAGGCACATTAGTTGGAACCTTAAGTTCTCCCAAATAAATCCCCCATACAATTCCAACTAATTTGATACATATGTAGACACCATATCTGGGTGGGACCTACTTTTAGATTCCAATAAATCCCTCAAACAGTTGCAACAAGTTAAAGCATAATTAGATTCTTAGAATTAATTTTTGTTCAAAATCAGTCAATAATTATTTTATTTTATTTGAAGTTTTTAATATGGTCATTCTGTTTTAACATCAAATCCTACAAGTACACTATGTACTGTATATGATTCTCATTGCCGAACAAGCCTTAGACATGCTAAAAGAAGGATGATGAAACTCCAAAGTTCATTTTAGTCTACTTTAGAAATTAGAGTCAAAATTGAATAAGGAGTAAAATTCATGAAAAGTAAAATATGTTATGGGCTCCATTGATCCCACTTTCGTGTAAATGAAAGTGTTTAGCCCCATGTATGACAACTATTAAAATGATTTTTTTGGTGAAAATTAGTTTTGAAATATATATATATATATTTTTTTTTGAGAATGTGAGATTAAAAAAGAGAAAAAAATTTGGGTCTACTTATAGAATATTTTATTTTGAGATTTTATGGTTGAAAATAACTTTGAAAAAAAAAAAAAAAAGAAGAGTTTTGTTTTTATAGTTGTCAAACTGGGGTTAGTACACATTGGTGTTGACTGCTAACAGCTTATATATTGGATTTAGCACTAGAATCTATAGTGGTCATATTGGGTTAGGAAACTTTATTGACTAATTTGAAATAAAATAAAATTTAAGAGCTAACTTAAAATTATTCTTAACCTTATGGATCAAATAAATATATAACTAGCTCATGTTTGAGTCCTATTTTGTAAAAAGTAATTTTTGTGAAAAACTTGAAGTTAAAAAGTAAGTAAAAATATCAAATTTACGTGCAAAATTATTTTATTAAAAGGACGTGAGTAATGTTTAGAAAAATGAATTTCGAAGTATGAGTACGAGAGTTAGTTACAATATTTAAATGTTGGACAAATATAGCTTGGTTTGGTTTAATTACAAATCAAATTTTTTTTTTTAAATTTTGAAAAAAATAATAAAAATTGGATTTCATAAAATCTGAAGTTCAACCCTTTTTGTTTTTTTAGGTAAATCAAATATGAGCATAATATACAAATGAAAAGGCAGACGAAATCTCCACTCAAATGAAATCTTTGACAAATCTCCGAGTCCAACGCAAAAGGCTGAAAGACAGTTCATCTTTGCACTGAAGCTTGAAAAATCACATTTGCTTCGAGTTGAACTGATAACTTTTGGAAAATTGAAGGAATTACGAGCTAAGAGAGTCTCCTGTGTACAAAGAGAGGGCAGATTATGTCTCAGGCTCGAGTTTACACTGACATCAACGTTCAGCGCCCTAGAGATTACTGGGATTACGAGTCTCACACCGTTCAATGGGGGTAAAAATATGTTAACAGACCCAATTTTTTTCTTGCCTGATTTCCTCATTGTGTTTATCGGATTTCTCATTTTTGGCTTTTTGTTATTAGCTTGCTAAATGTGTTATATTCTTTTGTTTATCTGGTGTCTGTGTTATTAGGTTTATTAGTTTGAATGTATTTGATTATAACTAAGTTCTAATTTTTTCAGAGATAAATTTATGTCATTATTATTTCTGCTGCAGCTTGAATGAGATTATTGTTCTGGAGACTACATTATTATTATTNACTTTGACTGTAAACTGAACTAAGCCACTTGAGTTTGGGCAACTCTTGTGTCATCCAAGACTTTAAAGGTCAGCTTATGAGTATCCTGGCTCATGCTTAATTAAGTAGCATCTAGATATTGTTATTTTGTAAATTGTAAGATGTTTAAGATCAATCGCACTCAGCTCTGCAAATCTTGTGTGGGATCGGCTTGAAAGATAAACAAGACAATCTCTAACTTTACTTGGTGTCCACTTGACATACAACATTGAGCTATAGTAATCCCAAATTCAGTTTAGTTTGGCTCAGATCAACCCTTATAACCCGAATTGAGAGTATTGTGGATTCATATTTTAGATTTATGTAGTTATCTCAAGGCTTTCATTAGCTCATGACCCTTTCTAGTTATTTTGTCAGCCACCAGGATCTACATAAATCAAATAAACATTAAAAAACATTCTAGTTTATTCGCATTTTATAGACAACAGGTGATCGTCTGTTCCCCCTATGAAATGCCTTAGGAGAGTAGTTCTCATACCTTCTAATCCCCATTTCTCTACATATACGACGCATGATCGAATGTTTGACAACAAACAATTGAAGATTAAAAAAAGAAAGGCGTGCAAAGAAGAGAAAAATTGAGGACAAAAGAAGATATCAATTTATTCATGTTTTCAAGGGTGAATATTACAATAAATAACCCCTCTATTTATAGAGTAACTAATCTAAAATTAAAAGAACTTCTAATAAACTAAAACATTATCAAAATACTTAACTTAACTTATCTAATCAAATCTAAGTAGATATATTTTGAATAAAACTCTATTTTAAAATTATATTCGAATTCTAACTTTAACTCTATCTTTATCTTTATCACCATAATTTTTTCTCGATTGAGAGTACTCGACTTCGATGAGGTAGTCTAGAACTTCATACTCCAACGAAGTCTATCTTTTGTCTTGACCAAGTGTAGGTATTGTACCCTTGACAACATGTGGCTGAATTCGTCCCAAGAGGAGCGATCTTTCTTATGAACCAAATATAAAAGAGGATCACTTTATGATAACTAAAGCTGCAAATCATCCCCAAAAAATATAATCCAACAAAAGGGACGATCTCACCTTTTAACCAAGTACCAATAACAAACTCCAAAAAGTAAAATCTTTTGCCATTCATCTTTAAAACTTTAATTGGTTATGCATGATGATGAACACAAGGGACTAATATTGTAGACTGGCCTGCAAAAAAATGATTGCAACATCGAATGCTCGAATGGATCTGAATAAGTAAACAATTATGCTATATTGAAAATATAATTTTCATTCAAGTTTGATGGCTAGTCAAAAATATTATCTTTGTGTGTTGATCCAAAATCATTTTTTCACATGTTTAAAAAATCAGACCAATGAGACATGCAATAAAGCATAATATTTATCATTAGTGTCTCCTAGCTTATATTGCACATCAAAAGTAAAAATTTCAGGATTGTAAATAAATTTTCTTTTGGTCTTGGCATGAAATTTAGGAATATTGACAATAAAAGGATGAGCAACACCATATGCTTGAAATTAGTAGACAATAACCTAATATCGATAGGAAAAATATGCAATCGAACAATGGTTTTGGAAAACAACGTGAAGACAGAGTATCATGCAGTTGAGATAAAACCGCAACAAAGTCAATGTTAAAGTCACACAAAAGAGAGGGCGATGTCAATTTTGTTACAAGTTCGAGGACATACGAAATGTTTGACTTCAATGGCAATGCTATATGTAATTTTCGAGCTATGTTAGTGTTAAGTGTATCAACTCCATGTGTGATCATGATAGGTAACACGATACACTATTCTGAACTCTAATCTTCTATGTAAAGGGTGGAAACTATTGTACTATAACCATCTAAAGAAACCCCAAAAGATTTTATAGATTATGACAAGTACGGTTTGATTTTGATTTTCTATACTAATTCTAACCAAGAAAGCAACTAAAAGTGTTTTATCGATATGTGATGAATGCATCGGATTTCTGAATCCCCCTATTAATGCTATTTCCAATTCTCGACCCGTATAAAGTAGTATTTTTCTAGTGTTAATGACAATCGATAATCCAATTGTATTCAATATTCTTTTCAAAGATATATTGAACCTATGTTTAACATGACCCCATCTTATTCCTAGTCAGAATTCGTAGGAAAAACATGCATTAATTCACATGATTGATCATGCACGATTGCAGATGCCATAAATATTATTCATAATATGTATTGCCCGTGTGTTAAATATGCAGTGTTCTACCTATTGTAAGCCTTCCAGCACTACGAATAAACAATAAGTTATCTAAGTGGTGGCCAATCATTCAAACAACACAAGATAAATGTATAAATAATCAAAAACTCAAGAAATTACTAAATTAACGAATCTTGAATTGAAATTAACAATTACAGTGAATATTACAGTGAATAAGCTTTCTTTTTATAGAACAACTAATCTAAAATTAATAGAACGTCTAATAAACTTAAAAATCATCGAAATACTTGAATTAATCAAATACGCATGGTTGAACAATAAAGAGGACCTATTGGCTTTTGAGAGACGGGTGCAGCCGCACCAACTTCCTTGTGGTCGTATAGGCTAAGATTTGGTTGTCGAGTATCTTTCAGTATTTTTGTCATATCTTTTTTTCTAGATATCCGATTGAGATAATTTAAAGTGAGTTAGAAAGTTAACTCAAAGGGCCAAAATTCTTATTTAGATATCATTTTTCAATTTGAACGTTTGCTGTGTCAAAATGAGTCTCAATCAAAGGCTAAAAATTCGAAGCATAACTTTTTTGGCTGGAACTTAATATGTGATAATAGTTTGACTATATTTCATCATTTTGACATCTTTCTTCATCCAATTGACCCATACCACCCTCGAATCTTTATCATGAGGTCTGACACAACTTTTGAGTATGTTGCAATTTAGTCCTCACACTTTTTATCTCACCATTCTTCTTTATTTTTAGCTTTTTTTCCAATTCTTCATCAAATCATGAGTTTTACCTATTAAACACAATACATAATAAATTAGGTAATATTTCAATCAAAGAACTATAAAATATCTTTATTTAAGAACTGAATAAGTCAGTATTCAATTCCAGAGAGATATTGTCACTTTCTTCTAATATAAGGGTCATAATTATCTCTATGGTTGTGAATATATTCCCTAGATAAATTCCTTTATTGCTAAAAGAAATGTTGGAACATGTCAATCATCTTATTCTCACTATCTAGATCCAACATGATGATACAATACCTTACATTAGCCATAAATGAAGATTAAGAAAGAAAATGAGTGCGTAGAGGAGAAGAATTGAGGGTAAAAGATGATATCAATTTATTCACATATTCAATAGTTGAATATTACAATGAATAAGCTTTCTTTTTATAGAACAACTAATCTAAAATTAATAGAACGTCTAATAAACTTAAAAATTATCGAAATACTTGAATTAATCAAATCAAATCTAAATATATAATTTAAATAAAACTCTACTTTCAAAGTATCCCCTGTTTGATGTCATTATTTGGGAAAAACAATGTATGAATGGTGATTTTTAAGAAAATGTATGGTTTAAAAGGTAGGGAAAGTTATGGGTTTACATACAGAATATTTTATTATATGAATGTGTGGTTGAAAATGAGTACGTAAAAAACAAGAGTTTTGAAATAATGACCATCAAACATGGGCTATATTCTAATTCTAACTCTATCCTTATCCTTATCGTTATCCTTATCTCTATCTCCATCAATATTTCAAAACGACTTCTTACCGGGCGAGTGTCTAGTTATTGCAAGCCACAAATTGAAATGATGATGCTCGTGCACTATATTTTTAACAAGACACTTTATTATTGTAAACGTGATCAATTTTTTCCTAAGCCTAGAAGATATTTCTTTCCTAAGGTAATCACCATTTAACTTGGCCTTGTTACTGCCTTCTAAATAAAATCATTGTTTAAGTTTTGGCTCCCCAAGTAGCTTAAGAATAATTAAAATCGTATTCCTTTAATTCTTTCCTGAGGTTCCCACCCTATGGGATTTCTGCATCGCAGTACCCCACCTTTATTTTTTGGTATATGAATCCTCAATCTTTTAAGTTTGTAGCACTTGGGTTTCCAATGGACAATTTCTTTCCATTTGCCAAAGTCAAAGCAGAATTAAAAGGTTGATTATACATTATTTTTAATTAAATAAGAAAAAAAAAAAGAAGAAGAGAAAACTACTTCTCTTCCACCCTGAAATTTCCGTTGGAGGCAGATTGGCAGAAATGGCGGGAGATTGGGTTGGTTGGAAGGGGAGATAGGAACTAATGGGGCGATGGTGAGAGTGGGGAAGGCAGAATCAGATGAGGGGTGAGTGGGGGGAGGAAAATGCTGAATGGTTGGGGGTGTTGTAGACAGCGGTGGGGGTGTAAATGGGGTTTGAGGGGAGTTGCAAATGGTGGGAGGGGTTGCAGAAAGTTTTTAACAGCTTGTCAGGGGATGATTTTGCTATGTATTTCCTTTCCTTTCCCTTTTCTTTATGCTATTTATTTTAATTAAAAATATCAGTATAATTTTTTTTTTAAAAAAAGAAAAAAAAAATTGACCTTTTAATTGTTCAATGGATGGAATGTGTTCACTAGAAACCCAAGTGTTACAAACTTGATTATATATTCTTGTCCGATCACTTGATCTAAAAGTTAAAGATGATAGATGAGGTCAATTGTAGATCATTTAAATATAATATTCAACATGCCCCCTCACGTGTAGGTGAGATTATTATTTTTCATTAAAGCCTTACATGTCCACAATTTTAATAAATGGTGCCAGTGAGCCTTGAACCCAAACATTTACTTGTTTTGATATATCATGTTGAACCATAGTATCTAAAAACTTAAACTGTTAGATAAGGTCAAATGCATATCATTTAAATATTATCTTCAAGTGTTCTCAATATTCTCTCTCATACTCTTAAATCCTGACTACTCAAGTGTTAATTACATTATCATTTCAAGCTTTCATGCCTCAAATACAATGACGGATATGAGTTCATTCCCCGCTCTAGATATATAATATAGCCCTTGTTTGAGCTCCATTATTTGAAAAAAATTGATTTTAGAATAGTGTTTTTGGAGAATTATATGGTTAAAATGTAAGGAGAATTTTTTGGTTTATGTGTAATATTATTTTATTGATAAAATGTGTGATTAATAAAATGAGACAGAGAAATGAATTAAAATTTAATGGAGACCAAACATGTGCATAATGAAAATTAATTCATTCAATGGTTCTTAAGCTAAATAAGTTACACTAGTCCATTGCTTGTCATATGCACTATTATCTCTCCACTTTCATGGTTAAGATAAAACATTCACTCCACTGCAAGTGGACAATATTGTGACCTTACATAATAAAGTGCCCAACTTTATTCACTAGTCATGGACTAATGTTTTTAGGTATGCATGTCAAGTTATATAAACGATTTATATGCATAATTCTAACAATTAGAACAACCGGAGGGCCTTCATGATTTTTGCTCATTATATGGCCCCTGTTTGACAACGATTAAAATAAAACTCTTTTTTTCTCAAACTCATTTTCATCCACTTATTCTCACAGAAAGTTTTTAACAGCTTGTCAGACATTATATGGCCCCTGTTTGACAACCATTAAAATAAAACTCTTTTTTTCTCAACTCATTTTCATCCACTTATTCTCATAATAAAATATTTTGCATGTTAACATATAACTTTTTCCTACTTTTTAATCACACGTTTTCAAAAAAATCATTATTCCAAAACTCATTTTTCCCAAAAAACTCATTTTAAATGGTTGTCAAAGAGGGGCATAATATGATATAGAAAAACTAATAAATAAATGTAATTTATTTATTGATAAAAAAAAAGTTCTACTACACAACTTATGCTTTCAGGGCACTAATCCTAACACTACTAAGGTTATGTTAATTTATGAAAATTTCATATTATTTTGGCTGTTGCAGCTACATGTCTTTTAGTAGTGGATACCTTTGTTTTTCCTAGATTTGTTTGATAAATGAGTTTTCAGTGTAATAGACTAATTTGTTTTCTGTGTATTCAGTGATCAAGATGACTATGAGGTTGTTCGGAAAGTTGGAAGGGGAAAATACAGCGAGGTCTTTGAAGGTATTAACATCGATTTCTGTGTATTCTGTGATCAAGATGACTATGAGGTTGTTCGGAAAGTTGGAAGGGGAAATTACAGCGAGGTCTTTGTAGGTATTAACATCGCAAACAATGAAAGATGCATCATCAAAATTCTTAAGCCAGTCAAAAAGAAGAAGGTAATTCTCTGAATTTCTGTGGCTCAACTGTAGAAACTAGAATGTAAATTTCATGATTTTACTGTTTACGTTTTAACGTTGTTCCCTGGTCGGTAAATTGCATGAATATATCCATAACTTGAATACTTGATAAACCCACCTCTCATGAATTTGAGTATACGGGAATTCTACTGTCTGCGCTGACTATATTTACGTTTTCCTTGTTACATTACTATACGTGGTTCAATTTTAATAGTTTTGAGGGCCAGCAAAAGAAAAATCAAGCTTTACTCCCAATAAATTTGAGGTCAGCTGCATGAAGTCTTTTTCACCACTACATTTGATCCATCGCTGTTCTACTGAAAAATCATATCGTCATAGGGTTATAAGAGGAAAGATTCTTTACGTCTCGAAACTCAATTTGTTCAGAGTTCTAGCTTTTGTTTGCTGAATGTAGCCCATGCTGCATGCCCTCTCTTGATGCTTTATGGAACTTGGAAAATCTTATTGAGTAATTATGTTGAAAGAGAAACTTGCAAGACTGTGAATGATACTTTCCCAAAACTCTTATTGATGGGGATGTCGTAATGAACCCATTCACATATCATAAGCATCTTTTGGAAAAACTCGGTTTCTCTCTAACATGTTTTGACACCTGCTCTGCCTTTGATGGCTTAATATTTTGAGTTGCTCCTTTCATTTGCATTTGCTGATTCATATACTATTCCTTTGATGGCTTAATTTATTAAATTGCTATACATACTGATTTTCAGTATAATTTGAAACTGTGCAGATAAAGAGGGAGATAAAAATACTTCAGAATCTCTGTGGAGGTCCAAATATTGTGAAACTGCTTGATATTGTCAGGGATCCTGACTCAAAAACTCCTAGTTTAATTTTTGAATTTGTGAATAGTACAGATTTTAAAATCTTGTACCCAACTCTGACGGATTATGACATACGCTACTACATATACGAGCTTCTGAAGGTTTACTTTTATCTTATTTCTGTGTGTTTTCATGATGTCCAAGTGCATGTGTCAGTTTATGCGGCGTTCTTGTACGTGCATGCTTTTATTAGAATATAAAATTGAATAATGAAAACTGTTGCCTAACTATTTACTAATGGTTGATTATGCAAAATAATTTATTGATCAAATTGATCTTTGTATTGGACAAGCCTAGGATGCTGGGACTTGGATCTTGAGTACAAATATACTTAGATCCTGCATTTTCTTTTGGATTCCCAATATCAATTAAATGAATCAAATAACTATGCAACAGGCATATTTATTCTGGATCTATGTGATTGAATCAGCCTCTTGAAATTAATATAATTACATCTGGAAAATAAATGGAACTGAGAACATTTATTTTGATCCCTCCTGCCCGTCTTAAAGTTGTAATGGCACCTAGATCAATATAAATGTTAAGAGTAATATGTGACCTTGCTTTTAGCTTGAGGGTACATGCTTATTGTTAGAGATTATTTCCTAAAATAGTCTAGTAAATAGAGTTTGCCCTAATTTCTATCTCAATATAGTACTAGTCATTTGTATATATACCTACAAGCTCTCTATGAATAAGATGTGAGAAATACCTTGAATACTTTGTTCAATATTGTACCATAGTCTCAACCTTCTCTAGCAAGCTGCTCGAGTTCGACTGCTAGGGTTTCTGCTCGTGCCTCTCCAGCGAGCTGCCCTAGGGTTTCTGGTCGCGATAGGGGCTGCACCCATATTTTTCCGGCGATCCCAATCAAGCACCCCGGCACCGGAGGGTTGCCCGTCACCTCCTGCCGCTGATTCAGCCTTCTATCGCCGATTTAGCCCCTCGGTTGGTCCTCGGTCAAGTTCCATTTCTATTTTCAGGCAACTCCAGTTAGCGCCGCCTGCAACGGAGGCGTCGCCCGTCGCCGTTCAGCCTCCTTGTCGCCGTCCAGCACAGTGTTTCAGGGAGCTAGGTCTTTCATTTTCGGTTGTTAGCGTGTTTAAGTGTTTCTGTGGGTTACCAATGCTCACGTGACTTGTAAAGTCAGTTACTTGGGAACTTGGGTTTGTTGTGTGGAGTTGTGGGTTATCAGGAAGTGCAGCTTTATGGGTATTTGGTTGAAGTTGTGTGCTCCAACTTTATTTGAAACTTTTGGTCTTTACTTATTTTCAGCCTTAGGGTGCTACTTACTCAGGTTCGAGTTCTTTTAAGTATTTCGACTTTGTTGTGATTTTTTGCTTTGTTATTTGTTTGATATTTGATAAATGGAGGATAAGACTTCGGTTATTGTATCTGATGTGTTTCCTACTATGTCAAAAATTACGGAACATAAACTTAATAGATCCAATTATTTAAATTGGAGTAAAACTGTTAGATTGTATTTGCAGAGTATTGCTATGGATAATCACTTAACTGATGAACCACCTAGTGATTGTTTGAAAGTCTCATGGCTAAGAGAGGACGCTCGTCTGTTTTTGCAAATACGTAACTCTATTGATAGTGAGGTGGTTGGTTTGATAAATTTCTGTGAATTTGTAAAAGAATTGATGGATTATTTGGAGTTTGTGTACTCTGGCAAGGGAAATATCAAACACACCTATGATGTGTCAAGTCTTTTATCGTGCAGAAAAAGGTGACCGATCTCTTACTGGCTACTTCCATTCAGTAATGATGTCAAAATTCAGCAAGCTCAGTGAGAGAAAATGACGGTTATGAGCTTCTTGGCTGGTCTTCATTCTGAATTTGAGACTGCTAAATCTCAAATCCTTTCTAGCCCTGAGATATGAAGAAGCTTTTAGTAGGGTACTCCGCACAGAGTATTTAGCCGCTACTCAACCTAACAGTGCTCTTGTTAGTCACACTTCTGAATCTGGAAGACAGCCATTTAAAAGTGACAATAAAGGGGAAAACTCAAGTAACTATGATCGAAATTTTAATATTCGAGGACAAGATTCGGGAAGTATTATATGTTATTATTGTCATAAGCCAGGACATGTGAAGAAAGATTGTAGAAAGTTACAGCACAAGAATCAGTCGAGCTAGTCAGCCCATATGGTCTCTACTAATGATATCTCTGAGCCATTCTAATATCTGCAGATGAGTATGCCAAATTCTCACAATATCGGGAATCTCTAAAGTCTTCATCTACTCCTATCACAGCCATCGCCGATTTAGGTAAAATGAACACATGCCTTGTTTCTTCATCTTTCAAATGGATCATTGATTCTGGTGCTAAGGTAATTCTAGTCTATTCTCCTCTTTTCAATCACACGCTTCTAGCTCTATAGTTACTTTAGCAGATGGGTCTATATCTCATGTTCTGGGGTCCTGCACAATTACTCCAACACCCTCAATTCCTTTACAATCCGTTTTAAGCTTACCTAACTTGTCTTTTAATTTAGTCTCTGTCAGTAAGCTCACTCATTCCCTTAATTGTTGTGTTTCATTCTATTCTAATTTTTGCCTGTTTCAAGATCTTATGACGAAGAAGATTATTGGTAAATGACACGAGTCTGGAGGCTTCTACATTTTTGATACACGAACACCAAAGTCTGTTGTATGTTCTGGAGTTGTGACCCCTTTTGAAACACATTGTCGGCTCAATCATCTTTCGTTGCCTATGTTAAAGAAACTGTATCCTCTGTTTTTTAGTATATCTTCATTAGATTGTGAGGCTTGTCAGTTTGCCAAACATAATCGTTTGAGCTCTAGTCCCAGAGTCAATAAAAGAGCTCATGCTCCTTTTGAATTAGTTTACTCTGATGTTTGGGGTCCATGTCCTGTTTTGTCAAAATCTGGATTTAAATATTTTGTTACCTTTGTTGACGATTACAGAAAGTTTTTAACAGCTTGTCAGGGGATGATTTTGCTATGTATTTCCTTTCCTTTCCCTTTTCTCTATGCTATTTATTTTAATTCAAAATATCAGTATAACTTTTTTTTTTTTAAAAAGAAAAAAAAATTTGACCTTTTAATTGTTCAATGGATGGAATGTGTTCACTAGAAACCCAAGTGTTACAAACTTGAAAGGTTTGGAATCTAGATGTCTGATATAGAAGTTGGGAATCTAAATGCCATATTACCCATTGGTTGGATATCTCCATCGTCTTTTCCCTTTTTTAATAAAAAAATGATTTTGTAAAGGATTTTCTGCTTTTCATCGTTATATGTCACATTCTTTATTCATGTATTTAGTTCATAATTGAAAAGCTGATATGTAGGTTCCAACTCCCAGGTTTGAAGTAATTACTGTAATTAAGGCTCACATATTTTGTTACCTTTAAACAAAGTTTTCTTCACTCTAAAATCATGGTGTCAATGGAAGTGTTGTTGAATATATGGTAGTACATTTATCCTAGAAAGATAAGATCTTACACAAACCTTACTCATACATTTGTTGGAAACTTTGATGGTTTGCCAGTTATGAATATTCTACTTTGTTGCTCTCTGGTTGCTGGATATGAAACTCGAAAGATCTAGGAGAGCAAAAATGTGAACAATTAAAAGAATTTAACCAATCACGCGTTCAAATCCAACAACAGTACCTTGACTTAGACTTATAATTAAACTTAAACTACGCTATTCTTGCCCTTGTAGCCCACAAGAATCTTAGCTTGTTTGAATCTGATTCGTACCTCCAACCACTAAACCTTTCTGAATATCCTCCTAAGCCTGTTTGCACAAGTGTGTTGACAATTTTCCTTGACAATATTTGGTTGGGTTCAACATACACCCAAGGGTCTCACTGTGCAAAAGAAAGAGGGTGCAACTGTTTGCACAATTGCACTAGGTTGGAAGGTCACCTCCCTTGTGTTCATTATATACCCATGCACAGTCACAAGACCCCTGTCCTCGGTCCCTGTTTAATTTTGTCTCATGCTTGCAACCCTACTATAGAAAAATTATACCAATATCGCCCTGAGTTAATTAGAGTTATTCAGGGGACCTAATAGACTTATAATTCAAGTTTCCATGGTCTGAGCTCAATCCTCGTATGCTCTCTGCGAACTGGTTTCAATCTATTAATATTGAGTCACTCCCTAACTCTTGAATTATTAAAAAACATAGGAACTCAATAATATTTATTATTTGACTAAACACCACAGAGGTTCAGATCTACATGCCAATGTTCTCACGCCATCCAATTCTCATAATCGGACAGAGTAAAATTACCGTTTTGCCCCACCTTTTATATTTTCTTGAAGGCAACATGTTACATTTTTTGCTGTAAGTGTATAATAGGTTTGTGATCTAATCACAAGTACACTAATTCAATATACATTTTATTTAATTAAAAAGTGCTCAAATTTATTTGAATAGCGAAAAATATCCAAGGAATCATTTGCCTCTTGCTAGAGAGTGATGGATTCAACACTATGATTATATATTCTTGTCCGATCACTTGATCTAAAAGTTAAAGATGATAGATGAGGTCAATTGTAGATCATTTAAATATAATATTCAACATGCCGCCTCACGTGTAGGTGAGATTATTATTTTTCATTAAAGCCTTACATGTCCACAATTTTAATAAATGGTGCCAGTGAGCCTTGAACCCAAACATTTACTTGTTTTGATATATCTTGTTGAACCACAGTATCTAAAAACTTAAACTATTAGATAAGGTCAAATGCATATCATTTAAATATTATCTTCAAATGTTATCAATATTCTCTCTCATACTCTTAAATCCTGATTACTCAAGTGTTAATTACATTATAATTTCAAGCTTTCATGCCTCAAATACAATGACGGATATGAGTTCATTCCCCGCTCTAGATATATAATATAGCCCTTGTTTGAGCTCCATTATTTGAAAAAAAATTGATTTTAGAATAGTGTTTTTTGGAGAATTATATGATTAAAATGTAAGGAGAATTTTTCGGTTTATGTGTATTGATAAAATGTGATTAATAAAATGAGACAGAGAAATGAATTAAAATTTAATGGAGACCAAACATGTGCATAGTGAAAATTAATTCATTCAACGGTTCTTAAG